GACATATAATTAGAGTCTCCAGATAACCATAATCCTCAGAGGGAGTAAGAAGGAATCATCTCTATTAATATTTTGTCTCCCAAAGCATTCAAAGGGTCAACCCCATGTGTTCCTGAATTTTATTTTTTGGGGGAGAGATGGAGTCTCATTCTGTCGCCCAGGCTGGAGTGCAGTGGCACCATCTCAGCTCACTGCAACCTCTGCCTCCCTGGTTCAAGCAATTCTCATGCCTCAGCCTCTGGAGTAGCTGGGAACACAGGCATGCGCCACCATGCCTGGCTCATTTTTGCATTTCTAGTAGAGACGGGGGTTTCTCCATGTTGGCCAGGCTGGTCTCGAACTCCTTACCTCAGGTGATTCACCGGCCTCGGCTTCCCAAAGTGCTGGGATTGCAGGTGTGAGCAACTGCACCGGCCTTTCTGTATTCTAAATGAACATAAGTAGTTCCACACCTGACAAAAACTGCTTAGGGACCTCTGGAAACTGACACAAACTCCTCAGTCTAGCACTCAAGGCTTTTTCTTCAACTGCATTTCTAGCCTCGTCTTCTACTTACATACCACCCAGGTGCTCTCCAGTTTCTGGGCCTTTGCTTAGGCTAATCCTGCCTCCATCCAGGTCTCCAACTGTTGAAATTCCATCATATCTTTAGTTCCTGGCCAAATATCACTTTATTCTCTGACAGAAAGTTTCTCACCCACTCCTACCCTGAACGTTCATGCCAGGAGGTATTAGATCTCCTCTAAAACTCCAGAGTAGCTAAACTGGACTTTATTACGCGCTGCCCCCTGCTCCCTTCCCTCCCCCAAACCCCCGCCACCCGCCACCCGCCACCATTGCCACTGGCCTGCACTTAACTGGCTGCTATAGCAGATATCTGCTGGACAGTGTGAATGGCTTGTATTCCAGGCCCATCTGCCTGCGTTGGGGGTGGGGCGGGTGGGTGTTGGAGATGGGACTGGGGCTTGAGCTCCTTGCACTCAACTCTCCCTGCCGCCCTGTAGCCCCAGTTCAGCTTTAGGCAGAGTACCGCAAGAACCAATTGCAGCTTTCCTGTCACCATAGCGACGGACGGGGCGAGAGGGCAAAGTCTCCCTTTGGAACTACATCTCCCATCATGCATCCGCGCCCCACGGTGCCTGGCTCAGCCTCTGGTCTGAGACCTGTACCAACCCCCGGGAGCCGTGCGGGGCAGACAATGAGGAGCAGAGCGCCAGGGGGCGGCCTCGCTCCCCTGGCCACCGCGGGGGTCGCGGCCTCCCATTACATAGCGTGTCTCTCGAGCCCTGGCCTGCTCTCGGCACCGCCACAACGGACCTAATATGGCCGCTGGTGCCGGGACCTGCCGGGCCCGCGGAGGGTCGGGACGAGGGCCGGGATCAGGAACTGCTCCCGGCATTCCTCGCGGGTGTATGGCGTGGGCTCCCTTCCCCCTCTCTGGGTCCCGCGAGGAGACTCTCGGGCTTTGAGGTGAGACCTGAGGTTCCGCTGGCCAGCAGTGTAGCAGGAAAGGGCAGGTCATCCCGGGTCGTGAGCCACTAGCCTCCTGGGGTGGGAGGGTGTAGAGAGGGGGGCGTTGAAAGGATACCCGCTACCCAGCCTGCTTTCTAGGGGGCTCTTTGGATTGAGGACATCAGCAGCAGTGGAAGGGATTTTACTGGAGACCTGTCACTGTCAGAACGTTAAAATACGACCGACAGGGCCTTAATGTCACCGAGGTAGAGGGAAAAGGGCAGTAGCCCTAGAGACTATTGCGACACAGTGTGCCCCTCATAAGTTCTTCCAGGGAGGGGGTCTGTACTGAGTTGACTCCCCGGGAGCTGAGCATGAGGCTTTGCATCCTTGGGAACTCAGCAAACGTTTGTTCAACCAATTGCAGGTAGCATGGCCCAGGGCTTGATAGAGGTGGAGCGAAAGTTCCTTCCAGGGCCTGGCACAGAGGAGCGGCTGCAGGAGTTGGGGGGCACCCTGGAGCACCGGGTCACCTTCCGAGACACCTACTATGACACCCCTGAGCTGAGCCTTATGCAGGCTGACCACTGGCTGCGACGACGAGAGGATAGTGGATGGGAGCTCAAATGTCCTGGAGCAGCAGGTGTCTTAGGACACCACACGGAGTATAAGGAACTCACAGCGGAACCTACAATTGTGGCCCAGCTCTGTAAGGTGCTGGGGGCTGACGGCCTGGGTGCTGGAGATGTGGCTGCTGTCCTGGGCCCATTGGGGCTGCAGGAAGTAGCTAGTTTTGTGACTAAGCGGAGTGCCTGGAAACTGGTACTCTTGGGAACTGATGAAGAGGAGCCACAGCTCAGGGTGGACTTGGATACAGCCGACTTTGGCTATGCTGTGGGTGAGGTAGAGGCCCTGGTGCATGAGGAGGCTGAAGTACCAGCTGCCCTAGAGAAGATCCACAGGCTCAGCAGCATGCTTGGTGAGAGAGACAGGCCCTTTTGTGCTTTTCCTGCTCCCCACTTCTCTCTTTTGGAGGCACCCACTGGACCATGTAGTGGGGGAGGGCCTCTGGATTAAAAAAATTTTTTTTAAATAGAGATGAGGTTTTGTCATATTGCCCAGGCTGGCTTGGAACTCCTTAAGCAATTTGCCTGCCTCAGCCTTCCAAAGTGCTGGGATTACAGGTGTGAGCCTCTGCGCCTGGCCTGGATTATTTTTGTAATGGGAATTGTTTTAGCAATTTTCTAAGTTTGCTTACAGTTCTGTGAAATCTCATTTTCTCTTTAACAGTAACTAATTTGGATTTAGTCCTTCCATGTGTCTAATTCCAGCCAACCTGTCTCATTTAGTTCTCATACCTATAGCCAGATCTCCTTCAGTTTCATTTCTCAGTTCCCTGCTTTGACTCTTCCTTCCCCCAATCTTTTTTTTTTCTTCTTCAGTCACCACTCCTCCACAAGGAGGAGTAAAAAGCCTTTTTACAAAAGCTGCCCTCTGGCAGGCTCAGACTCAGGATCTTCCGATCATGAGACTGATGCACTTGCCCACTACACCAAGAGTCCAACCAATCTTCTGTCCTTTTGTTTTACAGTTACCTAGATCCTTTTAATTTGTCCTTTCAGCTTTTCATAAAGGGCAATAACATTATAGTTATGTGAGACAGTGGGGCATGATTTGGTAGATTTGTTCCCAAGCATAATTCCCTTGTAGACAGTTCATTCACACTAGTGTGGAATTTTGCACCCCATGGGGCCTTACAGCCCTGCAGTGCTGTTTGAGCCCCCTCAGCAAACATACACTGAGTTCCTTGCTACGTGCCTAGCACACTGTCAGGCACTGACAACAGACACCAGCAATAGGCAATTCCATTCTCACCTTACGATGTAGAGGTGAGAACTCTATGTGAATCCCACCCCATGGCTATAGCTTCCCTCCTCTTCTTTCTATAGCTCTTGGTTTCTATTTGTACATCTCTGCATGTGCTTCATTACTAAGCTTATGAGCTTTGGCCTGGTCTAGATGGGCTTTAATCTTTTTTTTTTTTTTTCTTTGAGACAGAGCCTTGCTCTGTCCCCCAGGCTGGAGTGCAGTGGTGCGATCTCAGTTCACTGCAAGCTCCTCCTCCCTGGTTCACGCCATTCTCCTGCCTCAGCCTCCCGAGTAGCTGGGACTACACGTGCTCACCAACACGCCCAGCTAAGTTTTTGTATTTTTAGTAGAGACAGGGTTTCATCACATTAGCCAGGATGGTCTCTATCTCCTGACCTCGTGATCTGCCCGTCTCGGCCTCCCAAAGTGCTGGGATTACAGACGTCAGCCCCTGTGCCCTGTGATGGGCTTTAATCTTGATTGTGGGACAGGGTAATAACTGAAATGAGCTGATGTTGAGGTATCCTTTGTCTTCTTGGTGCCTGGGTGCCTCTTCGCCATTTCTCCTTGCTGGAGGAGAGGCTCAAGTGTGGCTTCTAGTCCCACTCTTGCCTGAAGTTGCTCTTTTAGGTCCCAGTTCCACAAGCAGGCAAGGAGTGGACTAGTGTGTTATAGAAGCTGGGTGGATGACATTCAGAACCACAGTGTGGCTTTGGAAACATCCATGGGTCCTGGCTAGGTGGCCAGGGAGCAGAGTCAAAGTGCTTGTGGCTCTGTCCATTTCTCTCCTCGTTGTCCTTTTACCTGTAGGTGTGCCTGCACAGGAGACAGCACCAGCCAAGCTGATTGTGTACCTACAGCGTTTCCGGCCTCAAGACTATCAGCGCCTGCTAGAAGTGAACAGCTCCAAGCAGAGGCCACAGGGGACTGAAGATCCTGATAACTGCCTGGGCTAGGGGTGTCACTTCCTAGAATGGGAAGGGAACTCTGGGTCTAATGGAGTCCACTCCTGGCCCACTGTGCCTCTCCCCTCAGCGTCCCTTCTGACAGTGACTCCTCTCTCTCTAGCTCTGCCTGTTTCTTCCCCCTACTCTAAGCTACTCTTCCTTGAGCCCTCCCTGGCTGCTGCTTCTTCCCTCATCCGTCAGATGCAATCTGTGGGCCGCCCCTCTCCCCTGGCCGCTAAGCAGCCTCCATTGATTTCCGCTCGTGTTTATAGGATTTCCACTTAGCCGTGATCAGTAGTTAAGCACAGGAAAATCCCTTGCCACCCCCCTCCCTTGGTCGATGCCATTGATTCTGCCAGCAGCTCCTAAACCGCCTTACAGCTGAGTTAGACGATGAGGGGAGGCAGCAGGGATTTCCCTGCCTTGGGGTGTGGGAAATAGAAGCAAGTTGAGGAAATGGTTGGGAATCCCAGTTAGAACTCTAGAAATTCTAATCTGATTTTGCCACTGTGCCCAGCTCTGGCCCAGAGGGTAGAGTGCCGCCTGTAGAAGTTTGGGGCAAATTTGTTCCCTGACCTGAAGAGGGTTAGAAAGAACCAGCAGCCGCCCCATCCCCGCCCCTGTGTTGAGACAGGTTCTCAAGGTTCAGGGGAAGATGCATACCTCTTATGTAAGAATGCTTTTCCCTTGCTGTTATTCATACACATTTTCCACTTCAAATATACCCAAATATGGCTTTCCTCCCCTCTCAGGCTTTATTGGGCTTTATTTGTGGGAGAAGGGGGCTGGTCCCCAGTTTTTGCAGTGCAAAGCCAGAGTGCCACCTGCTGGTAGCCCTCAGGTGTAGGTTTCAAGCGGCTGGGGCCCCCTGGGGTTTGGGACACAGGAGAATTTCAGGCTGTGATGTAGACAGTTACTGCCACGATTCCACAGGCAAGTTGTTCACCTCAAAGATCTCCTGCACTGACTGGTGAAAGTGGTTGTAGGTGAGGCGCAGCTTTAGCCGCAGGGGGGCCTAGGAATAGGAGAGCGGGGACCAGGGTTAGCACCCATGACTTCTCCTATCCCTGGGTCTTGTCTTGGGGGGTCTCCTGAAGCTCACCTTGTTAGGATTGAGGATTCTGAAGAGCTGGGTGATAGGAAGGCCACCCCGAGCTGGAACTGTGTTCCCACTGGGGGCCTGCAGCTGCAGCTGGAGACTCTGAGCACAGGAGTTTAACAGAGCACAGTATGGCAGTAGGTGGGGCTCAGGCAGCTCCTCTACACCCAGTGGCTCCACACCCTTTTCCTGTAACTCCCCAAGTGCTGATCTCCAGATGACTCAATCGCATCTCACACTGTCTCCCACCCACCACCTCCACTTAGTGGCCTTTTCTCCTGGAGTCCCCAGGTCACCTCTGAACCCTGATCTTTACAAACCTTGGGCACAGCAGCCTGGCAGATGAAATCGGTGACATCACCCTCTGAGGAGTTGGTGGCAGTGGCGGTGATTAACAGCAAAGCAGGGTTTTCAGGGGGTCGAATGAAAGACAGATTCAGCTGTACTCCCTCACGCTCAAACACTTTGAGATCTGGGATGGGAGCTGGAGTAGGGAGACAGAGGCAGCTCAGTGTGCAGGTTTGAGAGAACATGTTTGTTCATTCAACAAAAATTGAGTGAACACCTACTGGCCCTGCACTACTCGAGAGGCTAGTAACAAAGTAGATATGAAGATGAGGCTGGAGCTTACTGTCTAATGGGGGAGAGAAACAATAAAAAAGGGCCGGGCATGGTGGCTGATGCCTGTAATCCCAGCACTTTGGGAGGCTGAGGTGGGTGGATCCCTGAGGTCAGGAGTTTGAGACCAGCCTGGCCAACATGGTGAAACCCTGTCTCTACTAAAAATGCAAAAAATTAGCTGAGTGTGGTGGGTTGTGCCTGTAGTTTCAGCTGCTTGGGAGGCTAAGACACAAGAATAGCTTCAACCTGGGAGGCGGAGGTTGCAGTGAGCTGAGATTGCGCCACTGCACTCCAGCCTAGGTGACAGAGCGAGACTCTGTCTCAAAAAATAAAAATTAAAATAAGCAAGATAATTACAGACCATAATAGATGCTATGAAGGAAGTAAGTCATTCTAGAATAACTGGGGAGAACTGACTTAAATAGGAGCGGTAGGGGAAGGCATCTGACATTTTAGTTGAAGCCTGGAGTGAGAATGAGCTGGTCATTCGATGTGCTGGGGAAAGAACATTCCATGTAAAAAAGAACATGAAATGCCAAGGGTGGGAGGGTGTGAGGAGCTGAGAAGGGGGCAGTGAGTGGGTAGTGGGAAAGTGGTATAAGAAGGGCTGGGAAGGAAGCAGGGCCCTGTAGGCCAGAGAAAGAAGTCTGGAACAAAGGGAAGACAGGTGACCATGACTGACTTCATCCTTTTACCTCCTGAGATGGGGATGGGATGGGGGACACACAGGAAGAAGCAGGGTCCATGAGCCTCAGCCCTTGGCTTAGGAGAAGCAGCACATTTCCACCTACCTTCTCTAAGACATCTTCCTTTTGCTTAGGCTTACCTGGGGGTGGAGGTGCACAGGGAAGGTCAAGCAGGTATACCAGGGCACCTCCAGGGGAGGGATCCAGAGGGGGAGGATGCTGGGCATCCCCAGAAGCCCCATCCAGGAGATCTAGCAGATCCAGGAGCTGTGAGGCCTGGCGGAAGGGACAGAAGGGGCAGGGCTGGGTATGAAGCTCAGCCCGTCTTCCTACCCCAGGGTTTCCAGCCTCCTCACCTGGGGCTCTGTGGGTGCTGGGGCTGCTTCTGAAAGTTGGGCTGCTGCTTTGCTTTCCTTTGCTTCCTCATCAGCCTGAGGGCCATCTCGCTCCACAAGAGGCATTTTTTCCAGGATGGCAGCCCTGAGAGGATGGAATGCAAGTGTGCCTCTGTGGTCTTTGGGTCTTTCACAAGAGGCATCTAGAATGATGACTAGGAACATGGAGCCCTGGGCACATGGTGGCTCAGAAGTTCCCTTCTGATTTCCTAAAATGACATGTTGTTGCTGATTTTCAGATGAGCAAGGAGGGTTGGAAGCTAGCTTAGCTTCAATTAACAGTGGGTGGGAAGCTCTCACCGTGGATGTGGAACACAGGTGAGGATGAGGCCCTTGTACCTACAAAAGGGCATTTGGGAGAGGGCAGGGGTTTGGGTCCCATGCTGCAGCACAGTGCTGGACACACCTCATGTGATCGTACTTCCGGAAGAGTGTGTCATACTCCACAGCCCGCTGTTGCAGCTCCACGTCCAAGCAGCTCCTATAGATGGACACCACCTGGCGGATGCGGCTGGGCCAGTGTAGTATGTAAGTGGCAATGGCAGTGTGCCACTGCAGGATGTGGCAGGAAGGAAAGGCCCATGGAGCAGGGAAATACCCAGATTTGGCTCAAAAACAAGAACCTAAGGGCTTGGGGTTAGGGCGGGCTGGGTATATATGCCTGGAAAGAAACTCAGAAATGGGTGGGTCCAGTGAAAGGCCACCTCTCAAGGGGCTGGGACCCCTTCTTACTTATTGTCCCCTTGGAGGCGAGTGCTGAGTTTCATGAGGGCTGTGAGGGCATATCCTCGAGTGGCTGGCAGGGACATATGGGACTGCAGCACCTTTTCCAGCAATGCCAGTACTTCCTCTTCGTCCACCTTCAGACATGGATACAGTTAGTGACCCTGGTGCAAGTCCTGCCCCCCTGATGAGTCCCTCCTCAGTATACCCCCAGTGAGGTCTCACCTGAAGGGGCTCAATCTCCTCACAGTTCCCCTCCAGCAGGAGGTCCCCATATTCCCCAATGCACCAGGCTGCCACCTGCACCAGTGGTTGCTACATGGAATAAGAAACTGCTGGGCTGGCCGGGCATGGTGGCTCACGCCTGTAATCCCAGCACATTGGGAGGCTGAGGTGGGAGGATCGCTTGAGACCAGGAGTTCAAGACCAGCCTGGGCAACATAGCGAGACCCCCGTCTCTATTAAAAAAAAAAAAAAAGAGAGAGAAAGAAACACTGCTGGGCCAGTGTCTGAGGTCCTCTGCCCACTTCCAGACATGGTAATATCCCTTTAGGCAGTACAGAGATGGTGGAGGAGGGTTGGAGGGGTGGGGAAAGGGAAGTTTGTTACCTGGCTCCCACTGCCCTCTGGTGGCCAAGCATCAGAACTACATGGCCTAACCACACAGGATGGAAATGTGAGAGGGTCCCTCCCTTGTGGAAGGTGTGGATGCTTTCTGCCCACCCTATTTAATTAACATGGAAGAGGGGGCTGTAGATACTGCCTGGCATCTGTTAATTCATTCAGCATTCAAGGTAATAATAAAACCTCATAAACACAAGAGCTTTAATCTCAAGGCAGCTCTAAGAGGCAGTCAGGGTACGTGGAGCATAAGGGAAGTTAGTCATCTGTAGTTACATAGCCAGGAGGTACCAGAGTCAGGATAAAAGCCCAGATGTTCTTAAAAACAGGGCTCTGTGCTTGGATGTCTTCTGCACTATGTAGGTAGCTGTGATCTTGAGAGAAAAATTGGAATCTAGTATAAGGAGGAGGCCACCCAGGATGGGCAAGGGAGTGGTTGGGCAGCCCTGGGCCTGGGTAGGTGGGAATGATACCTGGGAAATGTCTTCTGCCAGGGCATTGTAGAGGCGGCGCACAGAGTAGGCATGTAGCTCCTGGGCCCCCCCAATCAGCTGGGTCAGGTTGGCCACTGCATCATCCCGCACATGCGTGCCTGCCTGGAAGGTGTGGGCATGGCCAAGTCAGTATGGTGAATCTTGACCACTTCTGCCCAGCTCTCTGACTGGCCCCTGCCTCACCGTGGTCAGCACATGCAGGATGGTGTCTATGTGCCAGCGTTTGGTGGGAGCAAACCTAGGGGATATATGGCTCATCAGTCCTGGTACTGACCCTGCCCAGATTCTACCCTCTTCGACTCCTGGGCACCTCACCTTTCTGCAGCTAGCAGGATGCCTGAGGCACAGTCAGCCCGTAGGTCAGGCGGGCAGGACTCCAGAAAGGCCTGCAGCTCTTGCATCATGGCTCGCACATTGGAGCTATTTACCAGAGCCAGGCTTAGTTCCAGGGCCCTCCTGGCAGGAGAAAGAGGTTTCCATACAGGTAGCCCAGGTTATCCTGGTCCATGCCTCAGCCCCTCTGCTTCCCCAGGGACCTGTCCCCCTTAGTCCTCTTACTCCAGCTGCTCTAAGCTGGCTCGAGTCTTGGCCACAAGGCACTGGGAACCTCTGCCCTGCCCTCCTGTCCCCTGTATCACTGCTCACCGGCTGAGGGAGGCATCAGTTTCCTGTAGACAATCCACCACAGTGGGCCGATGCCGCTGCACAGCACTGTGATCAGACTGCACCAGTCGAAGCAATGATGTCAGGGCTACATACCTGGTCAGGATGGGGGAGGTTCTATCACACCATGGCCATCAGCCCCCACTCCCCATCCTGTCTTGAGTATAGGGGTAAGAGAGAAATGGATCAGGAAGCTCTGGAGGAAGGAGGGCAGAGGGCCAGGGGATCAGTGGCACAGCCTAGGTAGACAGTTGGGACTATTACCTAATGTTCCTGTCACTGTTGAGTAGGAAGCGGCCAAGAATGTTGACAGCTAGAACCTATGAGAGGCAGAAGCTGGGGTCAGCCAGGAAAGAAGCAACCTGCTCAGCCATTGAGGAGTGAGAACACATTGGCGCAACATGATGGGGCTAGGAGGAAGAAACCAGCAAGCAGGACCTGTGTGGGTGAGGTGGTGGGCGGGGCCATAGTGGGAGAGGCATAAGGGATGATACCCGTAGGCCAGCTGCAGAGCGGATATCCATGATGGTGAGTACTGTCTCAAACAGGACCGCATTCCCGGCATTTCGGCTGGTGTCTGTGTTAGTGGCCACCTGAGTGGAGGAGAGAGGAGATGTATCTGCTCAGGGCCCTCCTCAGGTCTCCGTTTCTTTTGATACAGGGTCTCACTCTGTCGCCCGCAGCTCACTGCAGCCTTGACCTCCCAGGCTTAGGTGATCCTCCTGCCTCAGCCTCCTGAGTGGCTGGGACTACAGGCACATGCCAACAAGCCCGGGTAATCCTCAGGTCTCTTGAAGGAATCCAACATGTCATCTGTCCAGCCTTCAACCATCCAACAAAGTTCCCTTAGCCTCTACTATGTGCCAGGGCCAGCCTGGGCACTGGGGCAATAGCACTAAGACAGACTGTGTCCCTTCTTCATGGAGTTCACTGTCTAGAGGAGACGGAGAGGCAATGATATGGCCACTGCACAGTGAGGAGTCAAGTGAGGGGCACCCAGGGCTGGTGGGGTCTCCAAGCAACACAGCTAACCAGTGCCCTCCTCCCAGCCCCGACCTGGGCCAGCAAGTCATTCATGGTCTCACTGCTCTCCTCGTGGTTCCGGCCCAGGATCCGAAGCAGACGAAGTATCTGGACCTGAGGTTGGGTTGAAAATTGAAAGGTGAAGGGGTTCATAGGATAAGGAGTCATGGAGCTGAGGAGAAAACTCTAACATGGAGGAGAGCACTGTGAGGGTCTGGCTCGCTCCCTAGATCCTCCCCACACCTCCTCACCTCCACAGGTCCCTTGGTCCTGGGAGGGGAACAGAGGTGTCTGAGGCCAGGGGAGTTTAGGACAGGCTTACAAAAAAATTGTTACCAAACTGTATTTTCCTGACTTTTAGGCATTCTCTCTCCCCTCACAGGTCCTGGGATGACCTGAGCAATACTGTGCCTGCTATTCTGCTGCCCAGGACACTGAGAGGGCCAGTGTTCTCTTGGAGGAGACCACTGGTCATGGTCTTACTGCTATGCCCTCTCTGTTCCAGGGATACAGCAGTGAAAGGTCACCCCACCTGCAGGAAGGGGTCGCTGACTCCAGATATGCTGTGTTCTGTGGAGTATCCCGTTGTCACCAGAGTCCGGAGGATCTGTACCAGCTGGGGTACCACCTGGAGGGAGGGCACAACTTTGGGCATTTGTTCTAATCCTCTCCAGCTAAAGCCCCATTCCTTCCCCACTGACCCTCTCTTCAGGCCCAGGGCCTGCCCCTTCACCAGCCCACCTTTCGGAAGTGCCTGAGGGCTGCAGGGCTTCGTTCGCAGAGCTCCGTGATCAGCGTGATGGTGCCCAGCAGGATGCCTGGGGTCAGGGTCGGGGAAGTGAATGGTGGGGGCCAGGGGCAAGAGAGTCTATTGCGTGTGTGCCTGTGTGTGTGCGCTACCCTTCTCCTATGAGCTGGTGTTCCCATCCGATTTTCAATTCTTCTGTCCACAGAGCTGAAGCAAAGGATGGGGAGCCCCACAGCCTTACCATGGTGACGCTCGTGAAGCAGGTGGACACAGGGTGGGAGGAAGACGCTGGAGAGTTCAGGGACCTTCCGGATCATGTGCACTGCAGTCAGAATAGCCTGCAGAGGTCCGGGGCCTCAGACAGGGGTCAGAGGGGATTGACCCCTGCATCTACTACTATATGGCACACAGCAGGCAGTATCTGCAGGAGCAAGTGCCAGGAGTCCCACCATCTCACCTTCTTGCGCACGTAGGGACTGGGCTGCAGGAGCAGTTTCTCCACCTCTGGGGCCAGGTCTCGGCACATCTCAGCAGAGCCCATGGTGCTCAAAGTGCACAAGGCCAGGCCTTGTACTGGCTGAATCCCCTGGCTCAGGTCACTGCAGGGTTTGGGAGGATGGTCAGTCAAACCTCTAGAAAATCAGTCCTTTTCAATACCCACAACAGGCAGTCCCCTGGGATTTCCAAGGTCCCTACTCTCCCATCTCCCTGATTCCAAGCGATTGCCAGAACCCTCTCACTTCTTGATGCTGTTGGTAATGAGCAGGTGGGCATCGTGCCTCTCATCCAATAGAAGCATGGCCCCCAGGTAGCCCACCCTCTTGTCTGTGAATCTGGAGGAGGCGATCAGTTTCAGGCACTCCATCTATAGTCAAGGGGGCAAACCAGGAAGAGGCAGGGGTGAAACCATAGACACTCACATCCCTGTTTCATCTTCCTCTTTAAAACCAGATTAACCTGTGGGGCATCCTATCTCATCACTCTCCCTTCAACAAGAGGAGAAGCTTAGGAAATTCAGGCGTTAGTGGGTAAGAGGAACTAGGAGTTGAGGAGGATGGGAGAGGAAAGGAGGAGGTGCCTGCCCTAAACGAGGCTGGCCAGAGAATGAAGGGTTCAGGCCAGCTGATGACCAGTAGGGGTAGCAATGGGGAAAGAGGTTTGCAGTGCAGCCTGTGATGACTCTGAAATTGTAGAATTTTAAAAACCAGGGCATAAACAGGTGAGAGAGTCCGTGACTCTGCCCCACTAGCCTTCATCAAGCTCAGGAGGGAGGTATTCCTGGCCAGTACCTGTCCAAAGTGGGCGGGGTAGCCCAACATGTGGACGTAGAGCAGTTTGGCCAGCTGCCGGTGCCTGTGCACTGGGTCCCCATCGCGGAAGGAGGCCCGGATGTGGGCGCACTCCTTTTGGATCACCTCCCGCTCCTGGGCCTGAGTCTTGGCCCCGCGAATCTCTTCGATGAGGTCCTGAAGCTTCAGCGAAGGCGCCACCATTCTGACTGGCAGAGTCCGGGAGTGAAGAAACACTCTCTGGCCGGGCGTGCCTGGGTTTTCGGCCCAGGCGCGTCCTGTGTCAGGACCCTAAGAGCCCAGGTCCCACAGGTACCCTAAAATTGCTCCCGCATTTTACCTTTCCCAAAGTAGGTCTCCAAATTCCGCGACCACCCCACCGCCCGAGAAGCCCACTACGCATGCGTCGACACCCTACCGGCGCCCCTTCCTATTGAGCATGCGCTGGAGCCCCACCTATTTCTCCCGTTTCCTCCCCCTACCTGGTACCCCATGCCTAGCTCAGCCATTGCTTTCTTTCCACGACCCTCCGCTGTTTCTTCCGCGAGCTTCCTCCCCCGATTTCCATCTCAGGCAGCGGCAGCGACAGCCTGCCTACCCCCAGGACTCCAGCCTCACCTGGCTTCTGCCTCAACTCCGCTCCTCTGCCCCCCAGCGCTTCCTGGTACGGGGCCGAGCAGGGGTTGGTGATCCGTGCGGTCCTTCCCTCTCCCCGCCTCCACCACGGGACCCCGCCCTCCTGGGCCGACTGCAGAGCCTTCCTGAATCCTCTGACCTCGAGCCTCAGGCTTTAGCGGACAGACAGCATGATAGGCCTGGAGTTCTTCAAGAGGCCTCCTCGCACATCCTCACCACCCGGAGAGCCTCAGTTTGGATTTGAAGCCATCGCACCCCAAAGGAGATGACAATCCCCCCCCTTTTTTGAACTTTTTTATTAATATATTTTTTTTTTGTTAAATTTCTTTGTATTTTTTTCCTGCAAGACTTGGTGTTGGCGGCACTGTTGTAGTTTAACTTCAATCCCAAATTCCATGAAATAGAAATCAGAAGTAAAGGTTGAGAGGGGAGGAAGGAGGGAGGCAAGCCAAGGAATAAACAGAGTTTGACTAGAAAAAAAGAGGGTATGTGTGGTGGGCATTCCCGGGCAAGGCCATTCCTTGAGGGAGGGGGTTGGCAGGCAGCTTGCCTCTGCCTCATGCAGGGGAGGGAGGAAAGATCCCCTGGGGACCCTACAGTCCCCTCTTCCTAGGGCTTCCTGCTCCCAGGGGAAAAGCTAATACCAGAGAGGGATCAGCCACAACCTCAAACAGGGCTCTCCACCCACCTGTCACCCAGGTTTGACTCCCACCTCTGCCCTGCCTGGGAAGCATGTGAGATCAGCTTTCTTTGATCCCCTCCTTCTGTTGTTTTCCCATTTCACAAGATTCTGATGTGAAGGGGGAAGGGACATAACCCATTTTGAGACTACTAAACTTGTCACAGCTTCTGCTTCCTTGTGAGCTCCTGTTATCTTGTCTGGTCCTATCCCCAAGAAGTGCCTCCCCCGACCACAACTCCCAGAGTTGGGGTGTGGGGGCCTTGCTCAAGTGCCTCTAACCCTCTGCAGTAGAAATGTCTTCTTCAGGCCCCTTAGGAATTTAATCAAAGGCCACAAGTGAGTCCAGACCAACCAAATAAACTATTGTGGGGGAGACAGAAGGGTGGGAGAAGGCAGTGGCAAAGTCTGGGCGGGGTGGACTTGACTGCATTGGATATTCTCTGTTCCTTTACACGTTGCTCTTGGCATGGCATGCCACCAGAGGGGGCTGGAGGAGGGGCTGGCCGATGAGGAGAAAAAGAGGGAAATGGTAGGGAGTTATTCTACTTTTCACTTCCCTTCTCTCCCTCAGGGAAGGATGGAATTGGGCAGGAACCCAGCTCAGTGCTTGGAGGTGAGCTAATAGCCTCCAAGATTAGAGGTGGAGGATGCACCTCCTGCAGCTTTTTCACTAGGTCTCAGAGGGACAGCAGGCCCCTCAGGCTAGGGAGCCACAGCAGCGCAGCCAGTCCCTTGCCCGGCATTCAATCACTCCTTCTTCATTTTCTTCCTCCTCCTCTCCATTCAGCTTCCAGGAGTCTCCTTAGGACACCAAACCCCCACCCGCATCGAAGTTGAGGTCTAAAGAAAAGGTGGGAGGGCGTGGGGCAATGGTCTGACTTAGATTTGTGTGTCTCAGAGAAGACAGCAACTCTGAGAGAGAAAAGCCCTTCATATGTAAACAATCTAGAGAAAGAAGGGGTTGGAATGGGGAAGGGAGTGAGGAATACAGAGACAGATCCAGAAGAAATGAGATAATCTGAAAGAAGAGAGGGAAAGAGAAAGCGAGAGAAAAAAAAACAAAGGAGCACAGAAAAGAAAGGAAGAAGAGAAAGAAAGATAGGAAAAACACAGCCAGGAAGAGGAGAAGAGAAAAAAGGCAGGTCAAAGGGGTGAAGAGGCACGCAACCAAAGCCAGAACCAGGCCAGGAAGTAGCCTCAGGTGAGGAGCTGGGAGAACAGGAACGCCAGGCTGAGGTCCAGGAGGGCCACGGCTCCCACCACCAGGGGGTTGGCAGCTCCCTAGAGAGACAGAGGGGGAAGCAGACTCAGTCCCCAAGGACAGTGCCCACCTTCCTGCCCTGGCTGAGGTGGCAGAGCTGAAGGGTCTCAGGTACCTCCCTGCAGAGCCTGGAGCAGGGGGATCGCCAACATTTGTTTTGGATTGCAAAACCCTGTCTTCTCCCAGGCAGGGCCCCACCTTTCCTCTGGCACCTTCAATACAGGGACAGCCCTTCCACCTCCTCCCTCTAGTCCCCTCCCATCAGCATATCATGTGTCCCAGGCAGGAGGTGCCTGGCCTTAGTAGCAGACATTGGCAGCAGCAGCCAGTACTGCAGCAACGCAGAGGGATGAAGGGGTGAGGATGTGGTTGCTAGGAAACAGAAGGCCTAGAGCCCAATCAGAGTAGAGGGTTCTGGGGACACTCCGCCTCTCCCGGTTTTCTGCCTTCTTCCCTATTTCAACTTCTTCCCAGGAGAGGGAGGGAGAGTCAGGATAGGGAGGGAACAATCTTTTCCTTTTTTATTTCTGGGCACCAAAGAGAGAAAGTGCGGAGGTGGGGGTGGGGGTGGAGTAGGAAACTGAGAGCTGGAAATGATATGGAAGGAGAACGGGGGAAAAATATTCTGGCTCTCCCATTGATTATTAGTTTATAACCCTGGGCAAGTTACTCTAAGTGCTCTGGGCCTCAGTTCCCCCATCTGTCAAATGAGGGAGTAGGCTTGTAGGCGTGTAAGGTTCCTTCCAGCTCGAGCACCCTCTATTTTTTTGAGGTGGGATGTGGTCCAAGACTGGCCAGGCAGAGGAAGCCGAGTGGAGATAAAAAGCCCCCTGGCGATCAGACAGGTCTGGAAAGGGTGGGAGGCAAGGCTTTGGGAGAAGAGGACACACAGCAGGGACAGAGGATCTCACCGGCTGGGCAGGCCTCTCGGTTGCAGCAGGCTCCCCGAGTTCTTCTGTCAGGCACCCAGCATCAGGACCCCTCGAGGACGAGCCCCTCAGGACCAGCATAGCGATGGGCTCAGGCTCCGTGCCTGCTGGGGCCCTCAGCAGGGGCAGGGGCTCTTCATCCTCCCCCTCCTCCTCTCGAAGACTTCCTGAACTGTCGCTGCAGCCTCCAAGGAGTGGGGAACCGTCTCTGGGCCCTGGCCCTTGCATCCCAGCCTCATCCTCAGCCTCATAGCCAGCTAGTTCCTCTGCCTGTGCGCCTGGCCCCCCCCACTCCTCAGGCCAAGCTTTGGGGCTGGAGAAGGGACCCTGGTCCCCTCCAGGAGGCAGTGGGCTCCGGCAGGCAGGGGGTCGCCAGGGTTGGCGGGAGGAGGCAGGACTGCTGGGCAGTTCAGGGGATCCCTCTGAGGGAGTCAGTCCGTTCTCATACACCCCAGGGCTGTCCTCATCCAGGGGCTCCGTGTCGGAACCTTCTGAGTCCTGCCTGGGTCTGCGGCCTGGGTAGGGATAGCTGAGAATCAGAGGGGCCTAACTGGCCTTGGGCTGGAGTGGCTGCAGCTTTATTCCTGACCGGGCACTTCCCAGGACTTTGGAATTCCCAGGCTCATAGCCTGTCACTGCCAGACTCCAAACCCCCCATTAACCTACTGCATACATTCTCAAGTCCCACTCCCCAGACTACCAGGTCTGGCCCCCACCCTGTGTTCCTTGCACCCTCATTCCTTGTTTTTTCCCATCCCCGGTTCCCTTGCAGGGCTTCTTATCTGTTTCCCCACACCTGAGTCTCTCTAGCTTCCTAGGGGCCTCACTCCCCTCCCCCCAGCTCCCATGCCTCACCTGGGGCCTCTAGCATGGGCTGCAGGTCCTGGGCTATCAGTTTGGCCATTCGAGCTGCCTCCACAGCCTTCTCAGCGACACTGCTGGCTGCCACTGCCTTTAGGAGGGCGTCTGCTGCCCTGTTGGATCCAGAGACAGGGACTTAGCAGACCTTCCCCCACTTCAAATTAGCCCCTGCTCAGATGCTCCAGCCCCCTAGCCCCATCCCCTCTATATCATATCCTCCTCTCTTCTGGAGTTTTCGCCCTTCCCCACACTCTGCCAGCTGCTTCCCTTCCTGGCAGGCCAGGGCAGCTCCCATTCGGTTTCCTCCCCCTGACCTGGGCTGCATTTGCCATCATCACACCCTCCTGCTCCTCTCACAACCTTCTACTGCTACGTCCTGTAGTAACACTTCTTCCAGTTGCAAGGGCCAGGACCTCCTGGAACTCTGTCATTCCATTCCTGTCCTGCCCCCCTCCCAGTGACAGTTGAGACCTCACTCTTTTAGCACATCCCCTGCAGTCCTGCTTGGTGCTTACGAGCTACACCTACCACCTTCTTTGCAGTTAGCACCTCCTCTTGTTACTAACCCCTCTCACCCCCTGGAGTCACAGGCCTCTCTGTGGGGTCCAGCGCAGGGTCCTGTACTTTGATCCTCCCTTCCAAGCAGCTTTGTCCCTGCCCCGTTCCCTTGTTCAGAGCCACTGTCTCCCTCATGTTAACAGTCTCTACCTCCCTTTCCCTTTCTACCATCTCTTTTCCTTATTATTAATCCAATCTCTGCCAGTGCAGATTTCCTAGCATGAGAATTTCCTATCTTGCGTTCCTTCGGCCTCTTCTGTTATCACATTGTTCTTCACCCCGTCACTGCTACCACCCCACTGCCCCCGCTCATGCTTTTCTGAGCTCTGGAACTAGAGTAAGAGTGGGTCTCCCCTTTCGGTAATGATCCCGTCCCCTCTCCCTACTAATATGCATGCTTTCTCACCATTGCGACTACACTTCTGGCTAAACCCTTAGTCTCCCTTCCACACCCCCTCCCACTTTCCCTGCTCCTTAGGTGCAGGCAGTCTGGGAGTCTGATCAGTCTTTCCCCACTGTTGTTTCTCAGTTCTCCCTCTGATGTCAGATGCTTCATCAATTTTCTCCTCCCTTTCACCCTCTGCTGTTAATCATAGATGCCTTGTCCTTAAATGAGTTCTGTAATTCCGAGGGTAGGACACAAAGGAGCTGAGAAAGAGTCAGTCAGATGAGCTTGCCGTGGGCTTGAATGGATCATACCCCATGACTTCCTGTGGTCACAGGCCTGTTCTCTCTGGCTTAGGAAGGCAGTCTGGTATGGGGGTGGGGAAGAGGATGGCGATATCTACTGTGCATATTCTTAGTCCATAGCCTCTTATTTATGTTCTTTGGGAGCTATGATTAGTCCCTTCTCCTCAAACCTGGTGGGTCAAAGATCTTTAGAGCCTGTTGGGAGGGATCTCAGATAACGTGGTTCTTCTGTCTTAGAGACTTTCTGACTCTATATGACTAGCCCTGTCCTGAAACTGAGCTGGTCTCAGGGTGCACAGCAGGCACATGTGCAGTCTCCTGCCTCTGGCCTTTCAGTGGGGCAAAGTCAAGGAGAAGGTGGACAGGGCTGTCAAGGGCACCTGTTGAGCCATGAGCATGAGGATCATGGTCTTGGGTTGTATTGAGTTATTTTGGTGGCCTGAAACTGGTGCACTGATGAGGCCTGTTTTTGTATATGAAGAGTATGGATGATCAAGTCCTATTCAGTAGACTTAGTCTGTGCTCAGGCCTCAGACTCATGCCAGGGTCAGGCTACCTGGCAGAGGCACCTGCTGCTGAGGCTCTGCTGTTTCCATGGCAGCTGGCAGCCAATCAGGATTGCCAGGCCTGTTGCTGGGGAGACCAACCAACCTCCTCCCACTGCCTGATCCTCTAGTTACTGAGATCAGTTTTTCCTGCACATGTCTCCATCCTATCTAGCCTAAAATGTTCCCTGGTGCTCTGCCCTCCCCCTTCCCTGGCTTAAGGCCCTGGGCTCTAACATCCAGACTCCCAGACACATCTATAGATGCACATTCTCTGACTCAAACGTCTACTCTGCATTTGGCATGTTTATATTCTTTCTTTCTCTCTCTCTCTCTCACACACACACATACACACACACTCACTCACTGTGTCACCCATTATACAAACTCATTTAAGCATATCTGGACATATCCTGATCTCTGATCTCTGAAGAAGTCTCAAATTTAAATGAAATCCCCCACCCCTTTAAAAGAAAATCCAATATGTGAAAATTCAAATATGTGAGTTGTATAAATAAGGGGTCTATGAATCTCATTACAAGTGGATTTTTGGCTTCTTTTAGATTTTTTTTTTTTTTTAGACTGGCTTTCGCTCTTGTCACCCAGGCTGGAGTGCAGTGGCGTGATCTCGGCTCACTGCAACCTCCGCCTCCCAGGTTCAAGTGATTCTCCTGCCTGAGCCTCCCGAGTAGCTGGGATTACAGGCACCTGCTACCACACCGAGCTAATTTTTGTATTTTTAGTAGAGACAGGGTTTCACCATGTTGGCCAGGCTGGTCTCGAACTCCTGACCTCAGGTGATC